CTGATTCTCCTGCACGCGCTTTTGTATTGGGTCACAAAGGCCATGGCAGTCTATTTCCGTGTTCGAAATGTTGGATTCGGGGAAATTGGCTTCGTCGTGGAGTAACAGCTTATCGTGGTATTCAGCACAGGCCCCGTACAGACGAAGAGTATAGACAGCACATTGATGGAGAACATCATACAGATTCTGAATCTGCTCTGCTTACTTTGGGGATGGGGTTGGTAATTCAAATGATCTTCGATTACATGCACACCGTTTGTCTCGATGTCGTTCCAAAAATAAATAGCGTTTTTGTTGATAGAAAATATAATCCAAGTTTAAAACTTTCAGCTAGATTACTTGAAATTATGACGACACGTTTACAGCAATTATTCTCTCGCGTGAGCATTATCAGTTGGCAGTTAAAGAATTTTGCAGAGTTGAAGATTTTTTTGATGTTGGTTTGCCATCGTCTTCAGTAGGTGTCTTTCGATGTTCTTCATTATCTGATGAAGTTATTATAATAAATCTTAATGAAGTACAGAATAAATGTTTTCGCATGCCTTATTGGCATACTGAAGGGCATAGGGATCCTATTATTAATGTCTGGGTAGTTGCAGTTATTCTACATACCAGAGATTAAAATGGCCTTTATTAGGTAGGTTTTCTAAAATTTTTGTTCAGATGAGTCAACAAGGACGAGGAAGAGGAAGAGACACGGAGAAGACTGATAAATTAACATCTAAAGCATTGCAATTGCTGAGTACGGATATTGCAAAATATCGCACATCGCATTCTCAGGAATTGCAACGAAGAGGTATCAAAAACACACAAGGACATATGACACAAAACATGACTACATCCACAACTACACAGAGGCAGACAGTACCATTAACACAATATCAACATTTTCAATCCTCAGCCTCATCATCCCTACATGCTCCATCATCATCATTCTCACTTGCACAATCATGAACACATGCCCCCTCCATCAGCACTATTACAATATAGACTCATCTCATCATGCTCTTCTTCACCAGCTGCTCAATCATTCGCACGAAACATTCCTCCAGCATCAAAATCACCACCACAACGCAAACAAATATCATCACGCTCTCCTTCACCAGCTGCTTAATTATTCGCACGAAATATTCCTCCAGGATCAAAATCACCACCACAACGCAAACAAATATTATCACGTTCTCCTTCCCCAGCCACAAATTCATTCACACTAAACATTCATCCACCATCAAAGCTACTATCACAACATAAACAAATATGATATTATCACGACCACCACCATTACCTGTACAACGCAATCGTCTATTACCAGCCAGACAAGGACATGAACAAGAGTGCACAAAAAACGAGGGAACATCCCGTGATATATTGCAACCTCTAAAGTAAGTTTAAAAAATAATTATAACAAAAATAATCGTCCATGTGCATGAATAAAGACATCATTTTCATTTCAGAATGATCACGGCGCAATTATGTCGTATGGAAGAGCGACAAATTTTTATTGAAAAGAAAATTGAGTAAATATTAATGATTTTATTAAGGAACAGCAAGCAACTTACTATAAATGAATTTTTAATCTTATAATTTCATTTTTTCCTGCAGTGAAAATACAACGTCTATTAAACGATGATTGCGAGAGTCTGCAGTGAGGAGGCCAGTTGTTTGAGATCGCGTCGAAACATTAAAAATTACATCAAATCTAATTTCGCATTGCGGCATGGGCTTAGCAAAATTGTTAAAACATCTTCCAGTTCAAAGTCAAGAAATACCAACAGCTCGACTAATGTTATTGTCTTTCAGAGTTTTTGTGATAATAACCGAGCCCATGTCGCAAACAAGTATCAAAATAAGTGCGCAAACAACTTCGACGGTTGAGCGCTCGATATGCGGTACCGACACACGCGAGGCCGTGTAGTAGGCCGTGACGTATAGGCCGCCTGCCTATCGCCTGTGCGAAATTCGATCTCGCGCCAAAATTCATGCGAAGTTTCACGCGGCGGTCAATTAAACTCGGCGCCCCGTTAGAAATTTGAACATCGCAAAGTAGAGTAATACCATTGGCGGCGAGCAACGACAAGGATCGTTGCTCGAAAAATATAAAAGAGGCTGCTCGCAAGGAGCACACACACTCGCTTAGAACGCGCACAGTAACCGCATACGATTCACCGCTTTTTGATAACCGCTACTATTCTTTTGATAACCGCTATTTCTCGTGATACACCACATTTAAGACAACCGCTCGTTTTTGGACAATCTTTCTTTTGGCTTTTTGAATACCGTTGTAATTAGTCGTGCATTGTGATTATTTCTGTGTAAAACTGTTATTTATTCACGTTAATCGACATTATCGTTCATTTTATTATTAAAGACACAAAATTAGCAAGTCGTGAGTGCTTTTTTGTGACGTCAAGTCCTTCCGCAAATCCTTGCGTTTTGTCGCGCTTAAAATCGAGTCGCTCTCGAACACCAGTTAAGCCACAAGGGATTTCGTTCAGAACCGTAGACGATTTCTTGGCCTTCGAAGAAGTTGACGAAGAAATTTATAATAATTTGGTAATATATTATTTATTATAATTATTTCTAGATATATATTTACACTAATTCAATTTACTACAAACATTTTGTTACATGGGATACTTTGTTTACCTTGGACGGGCCAATCCAGTTGATTGCGCTGCAGAATATTTTCGCAGCGTATTTCCCGAAGATGAGGAGATTTCATCACACCTGATTTTAAATGGAAAAACTGGACCTGGGGGATGCAAATTGCGAGACAGTCGATTCGCTCAAGCATGTCAAGGTTCGTAAAAAATACCATCCGTCATTGTCCATATTCTACATTAAATATATGATGATAATTAAGGTATTCCTCTGAATTTCTTTTCCAGATGCCATAAACGCCAATAAACATTTTCCCAACTCCAACAACATCGAATTCCACGAAGCTTTGGAGAAGGCTCTGAAAAGCCGATGTAACGATGCATTCCGCCCCCCCCCATCGTTACCAAACCGTACCCGGCCGCCGATCCGTCGGAAGTCCGCCGCCCGACGAAGGGTGACACCTGTTTGGACACGGAACGATTGGACACCGCTCGATTGGACACGCAGTATTGGACACGGAACGATTGGACACGGAACGATTGGACACAGAATTATTGGACATCGCACGATTGGACACCGCACAATTGGACACGCACACTGCACGATTGGACACTGCACGATTGGACACAGAATTATTGGACACCGCACGATTGGACACCGCACAATTGGACACGCACACTGCACGATTGGACACTGCACGATTGAACACCGCATTATTGGACACTGCACGATTGGACACCGCACGAATGGACACCACATTATTGGACTTTGCACGATTGGACACCGCACGATTGGAAACCGGTAATTATGCATAAAGAAGGCACAAGCAGAAGAATAAATTTTAGTTTTAAATCAGAAATAGGTATGGGTTAGGTTATATCTTCCGGAAATGGAACCCCCACGTATGTGGTGGAACATACTGCCCCCTCTCATATACTTTTTAATGCGTAGTAAGGTTCTACATAGGTTTACAACTTTCCACGCGAAGCGAGGTTCAAAGCAAACCTATGTGTTTAGTTTTGTGATAGTGGAGCTCCCCCGTAGGGGGGGCGGAACATACAGCCTCCACACATATTCTTTTTAATGCGAAGTAAGGTTCCACATAGGTTTACAACTTTCCACGCGAAGCGAGGTTCAACGCAAACCTATGTGTCTAGTTTTT